GTATATTTAGATCTACTTGATATAAACGGTTTATCTTTGCAAGAAATACAAAATATCGGTAAATGATCAGTTATGTCACAGTAGAGTATACCAGATTTGAATTTATGAACAGGTGAGTTACAATATATATGATCAATTAAAGAGGCAGAGGTTTTAGTTATACGAGTGGGTCTATCTATAATGGGAAGCAAATTTGATGAAAATAAAGTACTAAGATAATCAGATGTTAGTTTGTGAGAGTCGGCTTTTAAGAGATCAATATTGATATCCCCACATGTATAAAAAGCCTTTTTTTCTTTGTTGACCTCTTCCAACAATAAAGAAATACATTCATGAAATGATTCAACACACTTTTCTGGTGGTCTATAAATAACTGATAAAATGATATTTATTGGTTTTGCCTCAATTTCAATACAGAGGGTTTCACAAACATCACAATAATATTGCTGAGATCAGGTCTACACTTATAATTGATGTTATCTGCTATATAAAGTGCAATACCACCACCTTTCTTGTTTGACCTATCATAATGAATGAGTTTATAACCTGGAATATTATACAATGTATAGGGATTATAGGCATTAAACCAAGTTTCAGTGAAGCATAAGATGGTAAAGTTATGATTTAGAGTCTGGAGATAATCAAATATTTCTGTAAAATTTTTAGTAAGACTGCGAGCATTAAAGTGAATAAAACTAAAATTTGTGTCAATGTCTTGCACCAAGTCATTAAAACTATCACTAAGGTGGTCCCTACAACTGGATGGGACATCATAGTCTAAATCAAAAGGGTTAATACTCAGCTGATTTAATTTATCAAAATTGACAGGTTGATTTTTAAAGTTATAATTAATTTCATGTAAGAATTCCTCATCATCTAGAATATGGTTAAATGCAAATAAGGAAGCATTACATGGTACACAATACCACTCAGAGCACACCAAAGTACATTGGATATGTGCATAATGTTTACATATAAGACATCTATTTAGGGATTGTATATGGTTCAGGGACGTATCCAGGGGGGAGCCGTGGGAGCCGCGGCTCCCCCCCCCCTTTGTACACAGTGTTGAAATTTGAAAGCTTAATCTTGAGCCAATACAAATTCTTTCCTGAGATCACTCAAAATGAATACTTCTAAACATGTAAATATGCATCAGTACACGTTATACATAGGCCTAATAGAACACATAGGCCTAAGCGTGATTTAAAAAAATCTTAAATCCATAAATCTCAGGCCAGGT